TATTACTTTGAACACAAAATAGGTTTAATTAACACCCTCCTCCCCCCACCACTTAGCTTTTAATTTGCTTCCTAAATTTTCTTTTTGCACTCACCTGAAAGGTTTTTTTCTTCATTCTCCATTTGATAAGCACATTTTTCCATAAGAGAACTTTAGTTTGCTGGTACATGCTCTTCTTTCTCTGAAGAGTCTGCATTTTTTAATCTAGAGAGAAGAGCAAAAGCAGGAATCTCCTAATAAAACAAAGCAGAAAAAGAAGAATATATATATAGTTTTGTGTGTGCAGTCCTTTCATCTGGGAATATCAAGGCACTTTGCAAAGGTAGCTATTACTCCCATTTTACTGAAGGAGAAAGAATTGAAATTGCAAATTCAGATGTCCCAACTCCCTTGTGTCATGCCTTAACTCTAGGACCATCTCTGCAGCATAGCTTTTATAAGCAAAAGGCAGTGACTTCTGGGATTCCCAGCACTGCACACAAGGCTTCTGGTTCTGCATTTAGACAGTGACTAACCAAATCCCATGGTTTAGGGGCTTCACTGATCACTTGGAGGAGTCGGGAAGTATGTTTTTCACCTTGGTGCATAATTTGTTCTTTAGATACTTTGTTCACCTTCCTCTGAAGCACTTCTGGCAATGCTTGTGTCCAGATATTGCTGACTAAACAAGTGGAGAATACCTGAACACGATGTGAAATACTGTATGTAACATGACCCCTCACTCCTTTCTGTGTTTTTACATGCCTAACATGAACAAGTGCAATGGATTCAGATTTCTATTTATTCTACTAATACTAAAAAAAATCCTTTTCACTCTTGGCTCTTTGGTCTTAACATGGGGATGGAAACTGATAGAAAATAGCACACACTATTCCAGAGAAAGAAAATAAAAAAGTGTTTTATGCTTTCATAGACTGCTTCTATAGCATTATATTCTGGATTAGCAAAAAGGTAAATGTGACATAACAATTCATTTCAATTTTACTTGCATTATTATTGTGATTGCAGTGAACATCTGTCTACTAGGCAGGCTTGAAAGATTTGCTACGTTAACTGAGAGAGCAGATTCTCCATCAAGATCTGCTGAGGCACCTGTAAATGGCTTCAGTCATCTAATAACAGAGGGCACTGCTACTAATGTTGTGTGCAATTGAAGCAATTCATCAGAAGAGATTACAAAAATCTTGGTTATGATAAAGTAGTGCACATGGTGAGCCTCCTTCCTCCATTAGAAAAACCTCAAAGACAGAACGACTGCCTTCCCTCTAGAAATGCAGAACTTTACCTTTTGTCTTTATGGTGAAGGCTTATTTTTTCAGTAAAACAAAAACAAAAACAAACAAACAAAAAAATCAGGGAGGGACCCAGGCTATTCAGAAGTACATTTTAGACATCACATCCATTCACAGGTCACAGACAAACCACAACTCTGCCCCAAGAAAACGAGCAAAAGTAAAAATTAATACCTGGAAAGAAGACAACAAAAATAGTTGTGAAGAGTTATATAAACATTCACTACGCTGCAGATTTACAAATGTGCTTGGAAAAGACAAACTTTCGGTTGTGTTGCCTATGCACGGGCAAAAACACAGCAGGCAAATGCATACCAAAAATAACTTCACATTGTCTTCCAGTCCAGACACACAAATAAGATCTGGACAACTGGTTCAAACTGAGTGAGGAATGTCACCATCACTCTGCTAATGTTTCTCTTATGTATAGATACTGAACTGACTAAACCCAAAGCTGCAACAATAAGAATGGACAGTTCTTTCCAGCATAGCTTGTACTGCACAGAGTGGCACAGCTTTACTTTGCAAGTTATTAGTTATTGGATGTTTTCATATTTGATTAAGACAATGCAGTAGAAAAATAGAAATCCTACCTTAAAGCCAACAGTTTAAGAGGAGTCAGAAATATTTGCCTTCTAATAGCAGTAAAAACAATGCAGAAAACAGCAGTTTTCCTGGGATATATTTTGGAATCAAAGCAATGGCTCGTCATGCTTTTCTGTGAAGAGGCATTTTCCCCCTTCTATTAGCAATTCCAAACCTCACATGATCACTTTGCTTTTAATTGGCTTCCCCTCTCCTACCCTGAGAGCCTTCCTCCTTGGCAGCTCTTTGCATTTCTGCTTTTATATAAAGATGAGAGAACATATTTCTGCTGATGTGCCTAATGCAGGTCTCTCTCAAAAGTTAGGTGGGAAACACTTGACATTTCTTATGCATAAAGGGGAGAGTGGGAGGCAAGAAAAGAATTCCCCAAATGTGTTTTTTTTAAATCGATTACTGCCCTGTATGCAAGCCAGACCTAACTTCAAAAGGACTGCAACATGCCAATGTGGGGAAGCAAGGGAGCAATATCCAGCCTGGTTTTTTATCTGTAGGACAGCTTTGTTTGCAGTTACTATTTTAGAAAATGCTTCCAAAATAGTAACCGCAGCAGATGGGAAACTTCCTTTGCTTCTTACCATACAAAGCACAACAAACAGTAATTTGATTTTGTCAGCATGGTATGTTAAATATAGAGGTTTTGTCTAATTCCAGCTGGACAGCATCAGTTAAACTACCAAGCTAGGGAAGCTCACTTTGGTTCCCAACTAAGTTCTCGAGGCTGGGGGTAGCAATACAGACCGAACAGCAGACAGTAGTGAAAAGGTTAAACTGCATTAAAAGACGGAAGAGATATGACTGCTGGGGAAGGGGGCAAAGGGTGGGGAGTTGGAATCATGCCCTTGCCCCAGGTGAATATGGTCATACTTCATTAAAAACATGAAGTAATAAAAATTACTTCTTTCCTCAGCTAAGACCCAGACTATAGGACCCAAGGCTTCCAGGTCTTCAACAGAGACCCTCGAAATCCTGGGGTTATGACTCTGAAAGAATTGAAACAGCAAGACAGTCTTGAAGTCATAGACCCCAGGAGGCATAGTGCCCCATAAACCTCACAGGTGATTCATAGATTCATAGATTAAGGGTCGGAAGGGACCTAGTAGATCTTCTAGCCCGACCCCCCGCCAGGGCAGGAGAACAACAAAAAACCCCGAAAAGAGAAACGGGACTCGAACGAGTCCAGCCAGGTAGGCATCCAGCCTCTTCTTAAAGACCCCCAGGGTAGGGGCCAGCACCACTTCCCTGATCTGGGTACAAGCAGACAACTTTCTGAGTTAACGCCTGTGTTTGATTTGACTCCTACTGAAAACAATCAGGATACTTGCCTGCATTGACTTGTGTGCAGAAGTGCTGCATGCACATCACCAAAGGCATGGATGTCACAGACAGTGGAACCCAGTTTGCAGGATGCTTTGTCATTGGCCAGGAGGCATCAGCCCGGGAGGAAATAGCTTGACTTTCAGAAAAATGGGTTGAGAGTTTGCCAGGATGGCAAGCAAGGGGAAAACCTCCCTTATACTCCTGAATTAGATGGCATACATATCTCTGATAAAAAAATCCCCAATTTTTTGGAGCAAAAAATTAACCCAAAATGCACATTTTTCCATGATCATAAAACAATAATATATTTATTCAGCCTTTAGCTGTTACAAGTTTATTACTGGCGTTAGTCAAGAGCAATACAACATGTTCACCACCCCAAGATATAATGAACATAACGTCACTGGATGGCCAGGCCAGGAGGTCATGTCTGGGGTTCCTGACTCCTTTGCCCCAGTTCTGAATCTTGGATCAGTGACCGGATCTTTCAGGAGCAGGTTGCAAAGGGTACGCTCTCTCATCTCTCTTTATATACCAGATAGATTGCAATTCTTATTACATAAAATTAGCTTAAGTCTTCACCTTACTGCATATTAATAATCTTGCTTCTCTCTGCCAAATAGGAAACAGTATTTTTCCATCTGCTCCTTTTCACTGGGTGCGTGTCTTGACCACAGTTCAAGCTAAGCACGCAGCTTAAGCTAAGCACAAAGGCCAAACCCCAGGCCTGAAGGCCCCTGGGTCCCAGCAATCATTCGAAGGATGTAATCCTACCAAGTACACTAGGCAAAGAAAAAGTAGTGGCAGGATCCACTCCTGAATAACAGAGGAAAAGGAAATGAGAAGAGAACACAGTATAACTATCTGAAAGAGACCATGATCTTTCTGATTATCATACAAGCAACAGAGACGGCTGATAATTTTGAAAGAACAAATTTCCATCTCATCAATACTCATCTCTTTCTTATCGGGCTTGCAACACAGTATGTTTTCTTGTAACGTTTAATGCCACGTTGTCCTACATATCACACCTGCTCCTACCAAATAAGACACCTACCTTGTATTTGGAAGGCAGAATGGAGCAAAAAAAGATTTGTTCCAGAGTCATGGCTGATTATGTGACATAGAGTAAGTCCTTTTGGGAACACAGGATGTCCTGGGAACTTCTGGCTGCCTCACCCAGATTGCCTTGTGGGATGACACACTTTCTGGACACTTTATGTTTCCAGGAGGACATACCCTGTGCCACACAAGGTTAGGCTTCAGACCCTTGCAAGGGGGCAATAACAATTCCGTTACATCTTTATTGTAAATAGTTATTTACAGGAACTTGTATGAAGAAAAGACTGTTTCTGCCCCACAAGTCTCATCAAGACACAGACTGCATGCAAGAGCTCCCTTACTGTTTCAGGCACAAGCTATAGTGCTCAACCAACAGCCATGGCTGTGAGGTGGTTGGTGCAGGACCATGTCCCTTCTCGATGAGCCATAGACAAATGGAAGCCATCTTGGCAGCTTACTGGTGTCTTCAGGCTTTCTTCTACTCCAGCAAAGAAGAATCAGCTTCCCTCCTTAAGATACACAGCCCAATTTTGGGAGGCTGCTTTTAGCGAGAAAGGTGTGCATGGTATGCAAGTAACTATAGTACTGCTGGAACCTTGGGTGGGTTTTTTGAGATATATATATATATTCATATGACAAAGTCAAGTCTAAAATCCACAGGTTTGAGAATAAAAATAACGAACTTAAAAAATGTAAACAGTGACCTTGTTCATAATCATTATTCAGTTTTGTGGTTCATATTCCTTAAGGATAAAAACTGCAAGGCCGTTCCTTTGGAAAATTGCACGGACTGAAATCAGGAAGTTTTCATGTGACCAAATGCGAGATAATATTAGTTTTCGCTTCAGTAAGTTTGCACTTCCATGCAACAGCAGTTGGCAATATTTTTGGCCAGCTGGACAGAGTAAACCAGCTTGGGTCTGAGGTGGGCCAGAACTAGGGAAGAGAACCAATGTATTGCCAATGACTCCTTCTCTGCTTTATGAAAAACAAGCACCTTAGATAATCTGGACGAACATTTGGATATTCTCTAATCAGATCCCATAAAGTGGCATGCATAGAAATATTGGCCTATAGCATATTTATATTAAAATACAGTTTTCCGTTCATTTTTGTATTCATCCAGTAAAAACCTCCTTTTACTGAAACCACAGTTGCCCTTCGAAATGACTTCCTGTTCAAGTGTGCTGAGTCTCACTGATTTCCAAGGCCCACCATCCAGCTGAGGATTACAGAGGACATTCCCACACCCCACAACTTGCCAACACTCACACTCAACCTGTTCTGTGAATATTGAGTTTCTTTCTTTCAGGCTGATGCCTCCTAGCCAATGATAAAATCTTTACAAACTTTACATACTGGCCATCTAAGAGGCTTACACTAATATAGCCATATTGGTTGTATACGTTCATAGTAAAGTAGTACTGGAAGGGACCTCATGAGGTCATTAGCAGGAACTTCCCAGACTAAACCATCCCAGCCAAGGGGCTGCCTAACCTGCTCTTAAATTTCCATGGATGGAAATCCCGCAGCTTCTCTAGGTGGCCTGTGGCAATGCTTGACCACCCTCATCACCAAAAAGTTCCATAATTTCCCCTGCTGCAGCCTGAGGCCGTCGCTCCTTGTTCTGTCCCTTATGACCACAGAGAAAAGCCAGTCTCCACCCTCGCTATAATCACCCTACAGGTATTTGAAGACTCGTATCAAATTCCAACCCCCCCCGCTCTCCAGTCTTCTCTTCTCCAAACTAAATAACACTAGTTCTTTCAGCTAAGTCATGCTTCATGGACCGCTAATCATTTTTGTCACTCTCCACTGGCATTTTCCAATCTGTTCATATCCTTCTTGAAGTGTGGGGCCCAAGTGAGGTCTCACCAGTGCCAAGGTGAGTGGCATGATATATGATACAACAGTCTGGGGATAATCCTATTGACAAAAATGACTTACCTCTCTCAGCTTGTTATCCACAAAATTCATAAGCGTAACAGTTTGGTCTCGGCAAATTGACTTTATAATAATAAGGTTCAGCTATTGCAGATAGAAAGAGAGATCTATGAATCCTAGAGTCTTCCTTTCCCCTACTTCGTAACAATAGGTACCGTATTGCTCCTCTCTAGTTGTTTGGGACCTCCTTTGTCCTCTATCAATTCTCAAATGCAATTGCTAATGATACAGATGCTTCTTTGACTAGTTACTTAGGTGCCCCAGGGAAAAATTGAGCACGACATATGGTTTGCACAGTTTGCATAATACTTTTAAAAATGGAGGGCAATTTCTCAAGTGTGAGTACACTGAAGTTGTTCCACTGACAGAGCTCCACTAATTAATAGTTCAGGCTCAGAGTCACATTTGGATGGTGGAGATTGGGAATGTTTTTAAATAAGGCCCTAAAAAAGTCTGTTCAGGTTTCATTCAATGGATGATTCCAAACCCATGTCCTCTTCAGAGCCTACCTGTAAGTTTGCTGACTTGTTCTTCATCTGCTACTTAGGATATTCAAAGCTATTTATCTTAAGAATCCACATATTTAACCTATTAAAGACAAACTTCCATGAAAAGAGAACATAAATTTGGGAAAGATATTTTCTCTCTCAAAAATATGAAAGCTGCAGCGCTACAGGCCAGACATCTTGCTACCGATATGACCACATTCAACTGATAGAAAATATGCATGCTATCAAATTATGAAGATTAAAAATACTGATTAAATCATAAATGAAAGAAATTAATATTTTTATGGCTCTTCCTGATTAAGTTGTTTCCAATCATAATTTCCATCTAAAGCCAGATCGAAGTTCTCCTTCTCTTGCTCTCAAGAAAGATCCAAAAACACCTGAAATACACAGTGAAAAGGTTCTCATAATTTTCCCAGCACAGTACTAAAGACTTAGGAACATTTGGTTTTTTTTTTTTTGTAAAGCAATTGATGAGCTTCCACTTGTCCCAAAAATGAATTCCACTCCGAACAGCTTTGTGCTGATCTCAGTGCTATTCCTCAGTGCACCAACAACTTGTTGTCCTGTAAACTGGCAACACCAAAGCTCTGGAGTCACACTTGGGAAAGACCTTCATCCTCTCTGCTGGGTTT